CTCTGGTTCCACTGCAAAGAGTATAGGGAGTTCCATTATCTCCTGGCCTGTTTCCCCACTGCTGTGCCGCTATGTTATGCTGGTTTTTGTAAGGTCAGAGTGCACAGAAGTTACTGCAGCCGTCTTGCTCCTGAAAAATTGCTCAGTCTACATGACTAGAGCTAGTCAATTGAAAAGCGGTGGATAGTAGCTCATGGCAAATAACTGGGATACCACAAGGTTTAGACCTGGGCCTTCTACTCTTTATTATTTTTATGAATGACTTGGATAACTGGGGTGGAATACTTATCACATTTGTGGTTGACCAAAAAACACCCCCTATATATGCATGAGAAGTCCCAATGTATCTTGTTGCAATTGCATTTCTCTTACTTTTTTTTTTGCATTTCTTCTCTTCTGTTTCATTAAATAAAGATAGATAGATAGATAGATAGATAGATAGATAGATAGATAGAAATAAATAAATAAATAAATAAATAAATAAATGGGTGGGATAGCTAATAATAGAAAAGAGTTTGAATCCAGTGTTTTGATCTCAGACCATTTTGTTTCAAGTTTGAAATTGGCTGTCCTATTCCCAAGCTGGAATACTTCTAGTAAAATCAGAACAGCATTGGAAAACTTCTTGCAAGGTCTAAACATCTTGTTTTGAGCCTGAAACTTTTCAAAGACAGAAATAAAATTCATAGCAGTCTTTTGAGATTTAAAAATGGGCTTAAAATAACAGCACAAAATGTAACTGAGAGAAATGCACGGAAAAAAGAAATAAAAAACACAGGTATAGAATGAGAAATGCCTGGTGGGAGAAGCTCACAGATGTTCACTTGTTTCACCTTCCTTTTTCTGTCATGAGGAAAAAGACCCAGTACCAATGTCATTAATGCAGATCTTGGAATAGTTGTTGATTGCACACTGAACTTGTTAGCGGTGTGAATGCAGTTTTAGGCTGCCTCATCAAAAGTACAGTTTCTCAAACATGAGAAATAACCATTCCTCTTGATTTTGTGCTGGCCAGACTCTACTTTGAATATTGTGTCTACTTCTGGGCACCACACTTTCAAGATTCAGACATATTGGAACAAGTTAAGAGAAAGACATTGAAGATGATCAAGAGGCTGGAAACCAGTGCATGCAGAGCATCTGAGCTTCACAAAGTGCATTGACACAAAGCAAGCACCTGTTTCTGAAGTACTGTATTGAAGGAGCTTTGCAATATGGCTGCTTTTGCATATACAGATAACGCTTCTGCTGGGATCACCAACAAAGCTAAGTGGCACATATATAGAAATAACTGGGGCAGCTTTCAAAGCAGCTTTGCAAAGGATGTAGCTGCTTCAAAGAGAACAAAGAACAGCTTCATACTAACACCCTTTTTGTTTATGGACCACTCCAATTATAGCTGACTCTGACTGTATACAATTCCCCTCTGTTAGTTGGGATAATAACTTTAATAGACCAGTGTGTCTCAACCTTGGCAACTTTAAGATGAGTGGACTTCAACTCTCAGAATGCCCTTTGCCGGCTAGGGAATTCTGAGATTTGAAGTCCACACATCTTAAAGTTGCCAAGGTTGAGAAACACTGACATAGACTGCATCTTTTGCATGGTTTGTACAGTTCTACCAAAAATGAAGTCCTATGAAGAGAGATCAGAGGACCTGGACAGGTTTTGCCATGAGAAGACTGAGAAGAATGATGATAGGTACCCAAAAGAATGGAGAAAGTCAAAATCTGTTTTCTGTCATTCCAGAGAGCATGATTTTAAGTTTCAGGAAAGCAGGTTCTGGGTAAACGTTAGGTAAATTTTGCCCTAATAGTAAGAACAGTGAAACTAATCACTCAGAGAGGACAGGCATCTATTGTGCTTCTTTAATATAGATTCTTGCAAGGAGCTGGGTTGAACTTGACCTAAATGGTCCTTCCAACTCTTATGACTATGAACAGCAAGGCAACTGATAAAAGATGTATTTTTAAGATGTGTAATTTGTGTATCTTCTGAATTTCCAGACCCTAAAGGCCACTCTTCACCTTCAGGAAAAGCTAATGGCATACAGTGGTCCAATAAGAGGCTCTGATACTACTCTCTGTTCTCAGAGCACTCTTATGTTTTCAGAACTTTAGCTGTCTGATTTTTGTGGTTTTAAATATATTCATAGATTTAGTGTGGGAGATTTTTGAACTATCAAAAGTGCATCTAATTATTTACCAGCTGAGAATGTTTCCTCCTTTTCTAGCTCAGTCACAAAACAAGGTGTCCCATCTTTTGATCCCTGGATTCACTTTCTCCAAGTCTTGAAGGCAGATGTTCATAACTAGATAAGCATTCCTGTACATGGGCCAAAATTGTATGATGTTGTTTCACAACGACTTCAAAACATTTGCCCTTGCAGATTTACCAACACAAAATAAATCTATTATTTTCCCCAATCCTCATCTCAAAAGACAATAATGGAAAATGATGGTTCCCTTCCAACCTTTAAATGATACTCTCTTCCTCAAACAGAAGAGCAATAATTCCTTTTAGAGAAAACATAGGGCCATCTGCTGTTTGACAAAAATCTATTTAATTACTATTTAATATATTGAGAAGAAGTATTAGGAAACCAGTAGGAAGCATGCAGAATATTATTTCCAGTAAAATGACTTTACAGATCATATAAAAAATTGACCCACTCTCTATAGCAGTGTTTCTCAACCCTGGCAATTTGAAGAAGCAATTCTGAGAGTTGAAGTCCGCACATCTTCAAGTTGCTAAGGTTGAGAAACACTGCTCTATAGCAAGCAGCAAGCAGTTACGCAACTTTGGGTAAGCAAGATCACCTGGATGGGAAACCACCAGAAAGTTGGCTAGACTAGGAAGTTGACTGGGAACTATCCCACAGACCAAAAGGAAACCACTTCCATATTGTTGCCAAGAAGACTACAAGTACGTATCCACATAGTGACCAGGAGATGAGCTTGTTTATCAGACTAATGATCATTTGAGACAGTGTTACTATGCATGGTTTTAATACATTTATTGAGTAGCGAACAAAGTTTGTTTTCTAATAGCTAGCTAGTCCATATTTAAACATGCTAAGAAGCCTTCTCTCCATGACAAATTAGTATTTCTGGTAGGCTAAGCAATAGTTTACTCAGGGTTTGTTATATAAACCACAACTGATTAAATTCACACATCAGTAAGCCATAAACCATGGTTTATAAACCACAATGGCTGAATTCACTCAACATATTAACATATTATTACGTTATGGCTTAGTACCAAATCAGTTTTTCTTCCTGTAAGAATGCAGTTTTATTAGTTTGGGGGGGCTTCGGAAGTTCTGTGAACCAGCCTGAAAGCAAGCTACATCGACAAGGACATCCAGTGAAGTGCCTAGCTAAGTGAAGACTTGAAACTGGATTGCATTACACTGAAACATGGAATATCAAATGTAGTCAACTTGTTCCCCTCTTTGTTTTGGGGTATGATTCTCAGAATTCCCAACCAAGCTGGAGCTTATAGGAACTGCACCTCAAACTATCTATTCTATGTTAGCACATCTTACTGGGGCTAAAGACAATGTTTATTGTGTCAAATCATGCCAGTTTTGCCACAATAACCCTGCCATATTTGCTGATGAAAGAACTCCACGTGACACCAAGAATGGATGGATTCAACCTCAAGAGACATCACTGAAAAATTCAGAGAAGAAAATAATTTCACTAGCTTACTCTGTGGGAGAAGCTCACAGCTGTTCACTTGTTTAACCTTCCTTTTTCTGTCATGAGGAAAAAGACCCAGTAGCAATGTCATAATGGATATGTTTATGTCATCACTCAAGGCGCTCATGACAACACCCAAGAAACTGAAGATAATGATATGGGGAACTGAACCTGATCGCGTTGATATGCCCTGCTTGTTTCCCTAGAGGTCCATGTTCTATAGCATCATCAGCTATTCTTATAAACACTGAACTACACAGATTAAAGTATACAGTTTCCAAAATGGGAGAAACAGCAGTAGTCTGTAAGGATTTCTACTTATTTAACCGTTTCATTCAGAAGGCTGGCGTAAAGAGCATCAACTCATGTTCTTCTATTCTATTGTTTGAAATTCATTTCATGATAATCAATTCTTAAAAAGCTGATTCTAAAGCTAGAAGTGGAAAATCTGTTTCAAATCAACACACAGCTTGGGATATCCACAGCTTTAAAAGACATGGTTTTTCTTTTCAGGTAGTTTCCAGATAGATTATTGAGGCTCGCCATTATTCTACAAGTAACAGTTTCTGAAAAAGGCAACGGACAATCAGAGGGATGTAGTTTAGCACACAAATCAAGTGAACCTTCAAAGATAGGTTATTAAAAAACTTGAGGAAAACTGGGTTATCTGCTGCAATCAGACAAAAGTGTCCCATTTTTGTGTTAGAACTGTTTCTAACAGTTGAAGCAAAACTACTGCAGTAAAAACATTTAATTTTTTTTTTTTATATTAATCCCATTCACCTAAATGAAGCACATTATTTTGCACAAATAAAGACTGAGCTGCTGCATTCAGTGACAATCTCCATGTTATGCAGCTGGATGACAAAGATGGGGGAGATCCATGGCATCAAAATCAGTGGAAAAAGTTCATTGACACTGTAATGGTATTTGGGAATGACCTTTGGAGACAGGGCAATGAGACACAGCCAAGGAAATGGTCAGATAAAAGGCAGCTCAGCCTGCAGCAGGAATGTGGGCAGGGCAGGAGGCTCAGAAGAGACTCTCCTAGTTTTTCAACTGGAAAGGGGACAGGGTGGGGGGAAGAAGTACTTTCAAACTTGCAGGATTCTGTTAATGTAACCTTACAATAAAGTAGAATTAGCTTATCTGGTCGTGTTTCCTGTCTGGTCTACCTAGTAAAGCTGACAGACACAGGGCTTCAGAATGAGAGGCATCACCATACTACCTTCATTGCAATGCTTGCGTTACAAAATAGAAATCAAAACAATAAAAAATCCAATATAACAAAATTACTGTAGGTTTTCATATGAAAATTTTTAATATTTCAGAGCCCCAAGCTGACAATCCAGCACTTAGGGAATTTGGACTTTATGTAGCAAGTCAATTGTGGCCTCTTTGGTAAGGAATAGGGTTTCACCAGTGTTTTGGTTACACACTTCAAACAGAGGAGGTTCATCCAAAGCCTTCTTCCCACATATTATAACAAAGGGGTAGCCAAGTTTGTCAGCGTCTTTTAACCTTTTTCCAATGGTGAACTGGGTCCGGTCATCCAATACAAGTTCTTCTTTAAGTTGGGGTATAGCTTCAGCAATACACCTGTGTAAATCCTCTATAAGCTCTGCTATTTTGTGTGCCTTGCTGCCACTTTTGGGGGGAATAAGGCAGACTTGATAGGGTGCTATGAGGTTTGGCCAACGAATGGCATTCTCTGTTGAGAGTATTTCAATGGAGGCCGCAAGGATACGAGTGACACCTAATCCATAGCATCCCATTTCAGCTAGAACAGGCAGATTGTCAGCAGTTTGGACAGTAGTTTTAAAAACAGAAGAATATTTAGTTCCCAAGAAGAATGTGTGGCCCACTTCAATTCCTTTATTCTCTACCAGTCTTCCTTTGCAAATAGGGCAATGCATCTCATCTGACTTTACTATTTCTAGATTGGCTGAAAAGTCACAGTTGGCACACATCACCAATCGGTCCTCACCAACATCAGAAGGTAGCTGGAATTCATGAGACAATGTCCCTCCAATGCTTCCTGTTGCTCCTTGGACTTTCAGGAACTGAAGCCCCAACCGGTTGAATATGTTGCTGTAAGCTTTACACACAAGAGCATAGGTCTGAAGGGCAGCCTCCTCAGAGGCATCAAAAGTATACATATCCTTCATATAGAACTCTCGGCCACGGAGTAACCCAAAACGAGGTCTCGGCTCATCTCGAAACTTCCTTGTTACCTGATATAACAAGAGAGGAAGCTGTTTGTAGGACAAGGAGCCTTGAGAGGCTACTAGGTATGTAATGGCCTCTTCATGGGTAGGCCCTAAACAATATTCTTGACTATGCCTGTCTGTCACTCGCAAAAGCTCTTTGCCCATCAGTTCCCATCTTCCACTGGCTTTCCAAAGCTTTCCTGAACATAATGTGGGCATATTCACTTTTTGACCACCTATGGCCTGCATTTCTTGGTCTAACACTTTGATAAGCTTCTCTAATGCTCGGACAGTATAAGGCATGTAGTAATAGCATCCAGGGTTGGCAGGACAAATCAGTCCAGTCTGTAACATCAATGTTTGGCTTTTACACATCAGTTCTCCAGATTTGCTCTCCTGGGATGCCACAATGTCATCCCGCAGGTTCATTTGTGGAAAAAGCGTTTGTTTTCTATGAAAATTGCAGTAAGATCTGTAACTCTGTCTTTGACAGCACACAACCCAATTAGCCAAACTAGGTAGTACTGTTTTTCCTGTTTTAAAAAGTTGATCCATTTTAAGATTCACAGAGGAAGCTTCAGCTCCAAATCTGCAGGAAAAGAGAAAGTAACAAAAACTAATTTCACATAAATACATTTATAAGCTACACTATGCTGTATGCCATTGTATGACAAAGACAATCCACACTGCACTGAATGACAAGTAAATAAGAACTATTCTGGATGAGTTGTATGAAAATGAGATGTTTGTAGAAAAAAGCTTACAAACTAAGCATGTGTTTGCAGAGATTGTCTCAAAGAAGAGGTGACCCACCACCTTCTAAATACATATACAATAAGCAAAATAGACATGTTAAATCCTTACACATGAGTTTAAGTATATCTATAGAGGCTAATTTTCTCAAGATCCCCAACCAATTGGTGTTTCAGGTGACTATAGGAAAAATGGAAAGAAATCCAAGTATATCCTTAACCTTCTTAGCTAAACAACAACAACAAAAATTCTTAAACATTTTTCTTTTCTAAAAACCCTTCTGGAATATGCAGGAGAGAGAGAAAGTGGGTAAAGAGGAGTGGAATTTTCCTTTTGTATTTTATGGTATAATCTTGTTACAACAGCTTCTGCTTATTTAGCCAAGTAAGAGTTTGGACCTTAAAAATATAGCTGGTGGTTTAGTTTTACTAGATCCATCCTGAACTCCAACTGAACAACACAGACAGAAATCCAGATCTCCCAAACCACATTCTGATGTTCTAAATTGAGTAAGGACTCCAAGGAAAACATAATGCAGGAATCAGCCAGCTTCTGTAGCTGCCGAAGTAGCAGAAAAAATTAACTTCAAAAGGACCTAAGAAATTACATATATTAATTTGACTTTGAGTAAAGGTTTAATATTTTTGGATATCCTTTTTTTTTAAACTACATATGTATTACATGGAAATTGATGGCTGGACAATAGAAATGAATTCTCTATGTCCTTCTGATTGCCAAGAGTCCTTCAACACTGGAAAGATACATTAATGGCCCAAAATACTCAGTGGATTGATATAACTTTCAACTTATGAACAGACCTAGATTATGCACTGATGGGCACAATAAAATATGGCAATCCTTTATTGAAACTGGGTGTAAAATTGTATTATGTATCTATATATTTCTGGACTGATGTGTTGCTTTTTTTCCCCTTTCCTTTCTCTTTCACTACTGTTTTATTTTTCTTTGTTCTGTTCGATTAAGAAAGGCAACCCTCCCTTAAGCAGCTCTGAAATAAATAAAATCTAACAATAATATATTTAATATTAAACAACCTAACTCCTATTTAAACATTAGTCCATTCAAATGTACCTAAAAGTTGGTAAAAGTTTACATTTCTTGACTATTCTGTACATACATAATTGTTTTTACATGGCAAAAAATTCTTGTAATATTATGTCTTGCATCATTTTGATGCAGAAAGAAACCATGAGTTATTTAATACTACTCATTATTCTGCTCACAATGTTATCCTATAGTATGGACAAGTAAGCAAGTAAACATTATTAATGATGAGGTAATTGTGTAAATCAGTTCAGAATTCTCACTCAAGGCAGAGATTATCATATTTTGGGCACATTATGCAAAGACCTGGCTCCCTTAAGAAGTCCATAATGCTGGAAAAGGTGGGAGGAAAGAGAAGATGAGGATAACCAGCAGCAAGGTGGATGGACTTGATTACAGCGGTGATGGGTACACTGTTGGAAGACCTGAAAGGCCAGATTGATGACAGATCATCCTGGAGAAAGTCTATGTCAATGTCTCTCAACCTCAGCAACTATAAGATACGTGGACTTCAAGTCCCAGAATTTCCCAGCCAGCATGTCCACACATCTTAAAGTTGCTGAGATTGAGAAACACTGGTCTGTGTGGTTGATAAGAGTCAACACTGATTTGATGGAACATCATAAATCAATCAACTGTGTAAAGTGCAAATAGGGAACAAAGCTCTCCATATACTGCTGAATACGGCTGGGCACTGCTTTGTATTCAATGCCCCCAAAGTGCTTGGAGTACATGAGGGCATGAATGTAACACCTGTCTGTAACTCACAGTCACATTTTTACCCCAGGATTGACTCAGTCTTTCCCACTGCTGCTGCAAGGCTCCTAGGGAAAAGACTGGGCTGCTTTAAAGACAGGTGTTACATTCACCCCCTCGTGTACTCCAAGCACTTTGGGGGTGTTGGATATCAAGCGCTGCACAGCCCTGTTGACCAGCTATAACTCGCCGCCAGCATGGCCGGTGGTGACGGCTAGTGAGAACTGTAGGTCAGCTACATCTGGAATAATGCAGGTTTTCTACCTCTGCTCCATTACAGCCTTTCCCAACTTGGTGCCTTCCAGTTTTCTGGAAAAGTTTGGGAGCGCAGCACTGTATTAACACATTTAGAGGAGGCTAGTACCGTGCCTACTTTGTTTTAACATTAAGTGCATCCTGACGTTTTTGTGAAGATCATCCGCGACAAGCGCCCAAAGAGAGAAATCCTTACTTGCAAATAAGTCGCGCTGCACGCAACGGACACGGAAGATCGTGTGCTTAAATTGCACCGCTCCCCGAATTGCAGACAGAAGGCTCGGTGTCTACAAAACAACACGCCCGTGAGCAAACATGCTACGAACACCCTGAGAATGATCCATCCCGCTTCCGTCTAGCGTTCACTTACGGCACCGATGCCTTCCAGCTCTTGCGCAAAGCACGCGAGAAATTCGATTGCACCTACGCGTGCGCAGAAATAGTTTCCTTTTGATTTCGGAACGCTTCCGGAACAAGAGAATCGGGAAGGGTTTTTTTTTGTTTTTGTTTTTTAATTCTCTCGCGTCTGAGACTCTTGGAGGAATAACGAAAATCCTTCTGATCCACATTCCCTCATGCGACATATAAGGAGGCAGTGCAAAAGCTCTTTTGTTTCATTTTGTCGGCAAAAGCACACTCCTCTGCCAGGCTTTTTAAACTTATTTGATAGAATACTCCATATGCGGGGTCAGAACGAAATGCTGTTATGCCTGCGTCCAGGTTTCCCGGTTATAAGAGGCTTCGTTTTTATGCCTATTAGATTGCAAATTCAAATATTCTTGAATTTTAACAACCATGATTGAAGGGCTAGCCGCTCATCTGTGAATCAGCCGAAAAGTATTGCCGCATGAGATTGGCGGCTTCATTATCCAGCCTGTATGGTGCCTGTTCTGAGTCACTGCTGAATGGTGCCGTCCTGATTATGTGTGCACAATGCGTGATAGGCAAAGAGGTTGGTTGATTCTTCTGGCTTTGCTGCTCTTCCTCTTCCCCACGTTTCCAGCTGATGGGGGGAAAAAAACCTGTCCATCAGATCACATCAGAAACGGGGCAGGTCTAACTGCAAGAGTGCGTCCACCCATTTCTAGGCTCCTCCTTGTGCCCCTCAACCTCCATCCCATTTCTTGTGACTGGAATTGAATGAAGTTAAAACAAAAAGAAAAACAGATTGAAGAGAAATGAATCATGTGCAGTATATTTATTTAGGACTTCTTTCCCCTTATTTTCCCTTACATAGGCACCAAGGGCTGACTTCCAAATTCCTCTGTTCTGCTCAGGAGGCAACAGAGATCAGGGTTGGTCCTGTCATTCCACTCTCTTACTATTTCAGTCTTGCTTTAAACTGTAAGAATTAAAGCAGTTACGCTGAACAGTCCAGTGCTATTTTGATAGACTTCATTTTACTGGCTGGCCATTGCTTCCATCATGCAGGATGTAAAGTGGTGACATCTGTGTTATGCAGTGCTATTGGATAGGTGTGTGCTTGTGGCAGGGAACTGTTCATGCTAGCTAGAGCAGAGCTGACAGAGAAGGACAAAAGGAATCTCTGTTTTTTTAAAAAAAGCTTTACTTTTCTTTCTCAGCTCCCAGTAATAATAATATATTAAATGTATATGCCACCCAAATCCCAGTGACTGTGTCCAGTTCTTTGGGGAGACAAAAACAGAATCATGGCAGAAAAACCTGTCCAGGGATCAGAAGGAAGGGCATGTTCACATCAGTCTGAAACTGAATAGGTGCCTCTTGGATCCTCCCCCCTTGTTGTTCACCTGACCTTGATCCATTTAAGTGAACTTCAAATTTTTGATGGATGAGAACTTGAGTATTTTAGGAGTTGTGATGGTTCAGAGGCCACATCTCAAGTCTAGCTTTTAAATCACCAGTGTCTTGCTTGACAACCTTGACCGGTCCAAAAAAACATCTTCAGATCATTCAAGACAGGTGATTTCAAAATCAAGCAAAAGAGATGTCAGATGGCATGTAAGCGCAATTTCTTTGTATATTATGATTGAAAGAATGCAGGTGTATCTGGAGTGGCTAAAATCTAAAAGGTCCTCAGGTGTTATACAGCTGAAGGTGGACCAAACAAGCTTAACTAAAGAATATATTTTGAAACATATTAACCCAAATGAATAAATGTATACTATAAAAATAGGAAAAGTACAAAGAAGGCAATTTGAACTTTTCTTGATGTAGAATAACAGTTGGGAAGAATGGATTGCAATTTTTTGCACCATTAGGAAATGAATGGTTATATAAACTTTGCGCTTAAAATTCCACTTCTTATAAGAATGCAAATGTCTACTAATTGGATGGGTTTACACATTGCCCTAAGCCATTATGGAATTAGTTTGATTTTGTTTTAACATGTTATATGGATCCATCTAATGGTGCATTACTCAGGAAATTACAATTAAACAAATGATGGCTTAGGATGAGATGAAAATCAGGTAAGTGTCTGTAGATATAGAACTGTAGACTATTCTTTGTGAAATCATTGAATTTTACTTGTATTAAGCATATAAGTTATGGAAAGAATGAATGCCTGATGCAATGATAAAAGGGTACTTTTAAAAAACAGGGAATAAAGATAATAATTGTGGACTCATAGCTTGCTGTCAATATTTAAAGAAACCAATGAGCTGCATACATTACATTTTGAAAGATGAATGTTATAGTGATGCTGTTTTTTATGATTATTTATATAAATTATATATTAAATTGGTATTTAAGCATTCTGTTTGTAATATATTTTGTTTTTACATGTTTATAATAAAGGGGAATAGATTCATCATCCTATAGATACTATTGAACAGTTTTATAATATTGATAATTATGATAGTTTTTCAGAATATTGGGGTGGTTGATAAAACAAATAAATTAAAGATATCAAAATATAGTTTTAAAAGCCTTTAAACAGAAATCCTGGTTCCCTAAACCTATTTGCCCAAAGAGGCTTCCATTTTACTTGCTCTACTGTTTAATATATTTTGCATCTTGCTGTCTTAAGTAAGCTCAGAATGGGTTCCTTCCTGAATTTGAATGACAAAGTGATGATATGATGCCACTGTTTAAACTTTTTCCTGTCTTAGCATGCTTTCTGGTAAACCTCTGCACAAAGGAGAAGGTGCAGATAAAATCGAACCAGAGACAGATCTGGCTCACTGGTGACTGAGCACTGTGGAAGGGCGACAGAAATGGTATTATGTGCCTAAAAACGAGGAATGTGCCCGGGAACAGAATGCACTTGGGGCATATACTTTAGGACTGAACACTGTAGTGGTTGGCAATCATTACAAGTACACACAAAATGTCCACCAGGGCAGAGAAAAGCATAAGTGCTACCAATGCAGGGCAGCCTTGCTGCAGTTCAGCAAGCACTGAGGGTCTTTTTCCCCTTTGTGGGTTCCATTCTGACATGGTTTGGGGTTTCTTATGGTGAGAAAGAGGATTCTGGCCCTTGAAACTCAGTCTTGTGTACATACTACCCCAACGTCTCTTTTCTTGCACATTGACTAGAACCACAAGCTGGACCAAATTGTCATAAATACTAAGATCCCCTCTCCCCATTTGTCAGCCTTATTAGGTAGATCAAGCAGAAAACTCAACCAGATGATCTAATTCTGCTTTATTGTAAGGTTACATTAACAGAATCTTGCAAGTCTGGAAGTACTTCTCTCCCGCTGTCCCTTTACAGCCCAAGCAACTAGGGAGGGCCTTTTCTGAGCCTCCTGCCTCACCCACATTCCTGCTGCCTTTTATCTGACCATTCCCTTGGCTGTGTCTCATTACCCTGTCTCCCAAGGTCATTCCCACATACCGTTACACCATTTGTCTTTTGGGTGAGTGTCATTAGTATTCAGAATGGCTAGTCAACATATTTGGAGTAGGCAAAGCAATTTCCCCATTTGACTTCATCCAGTATCTATCTTCTCAACAGTACTGTATATAGTGTAGCTCACCTGCATTGAGCTAACTTTTCTCAACCTATGTCTCAGGAGATGTGTTGGTTTACAGTTCCTATCATCTGCAACTACCTTAGCCAGTGGGAATGATGGAGCTGTAGTCTAAGACTTCTGGTAGGCATATGTTTGGGGAAGGCTGCAGCAAGCTTTCAAACACATTTTGCTTGGATAGCACCTTCTGTAGTGAATTTTGATTAGAGTTGGCCAGAGCTTTGCAGAAGAGGATCTGTCCTAAGTTCTGATCAGCCTATATGATCTTCTGGACGCTTAGATATCAGGTTTCTATGAACAGCCAACAGTCAGTCAAATGATTGCTCCTTGGTGCAACAGCTCTGATAACCCTAGTCACTTCCATGACTCATGAGCAATGCATATCTTGAATCATTTTGATGTGTATAAAATATATCAGGCAAACAAATCACCCAAATAATGTGCTCCCGGAAGGTTTCTTGACTGGCA